CCCCCCCCCCCCCCTCTTATAAGAGTATAATTACTTCTTACTTGTTTTATGCTACTTATATGTCGGTATCGCAGTATCATAAGGTATCTAATTTATATTATTATGCAAATTACGGCTGATATTTGTTGACTGCGATTTGCGTGACTATAATTCTAAATTGCTTCAATTGCAACAAGATTGTATATTGATTAGAGAAAAATCAATTTATATTCATGAAAATATCCCCTTAGAGAGGAAGAAAACCAGAAATTGTTCAAGTTATTGCACCTTATCAAGCAACTAGCGGAGAACAATTGGACTTGCAAAGAGGGCAATTGATAATGATTCGTAAAAAAACTGACAGTGGATGGTGGGAAGGAGAGCTCCAGGTAAAGAAATTTATTGTGTTTTTATTTATTATGTTTTCTATCGCTCAGTTCAGTAATAATTAAATTGGGAAAATCTCTCTTTTATATAGGCACGTGGTAAAAAAAGACAGATTGGTTGGTTTCCAGCAACTTATGTAAAACTTTTAACTAGTAGTAGTAATAGAAGTACACCTGTCTCTCATGGATATCAAGATTCTCCAACGGACCCAAATATTGGTAAATATATCCCATATAATTAATCTATGATTTTCTTTTTTTATATACATATAAAATATACATAAAATTATTATTAATATACATATAAAATATACGTGTGATTTGTTTAAATTACAATTTGTGAGCTATATTGTGAATTAAATATAAAATAGTTCTTATAGCATAGATTTCGTTTTACTCTTTTAGAACGTGTTATGGCTCTATATCCTTATCAAGCACAAAATGAAGACGAATTAAGCTTCGAAAAAGGTGACGTTATATCCGTACTCAGTAAGGAAGAGACTGCATGGTGGAGAGGCGAGTTGAATGGCGTATCTGGCGTCTTCCCGAGCAACTACGTATCATCTATGTGTAAGTATTTTTTTTGTAAATAATTGCTCAAGTCGATTTAAAAATCATTTTATGGTTTAATGACTATTATAAGTCATATAGTCCGGATAGTTACCTAAAGTTTCATGTTTTATTATTATATTAGATTTCTACTAACAACGTATGTGCACGTGTTAATATTGAATAAAATATTTGAAGTAAACAGAATATGTGTGTGTGTTTGTGCGTGTGTGTTTGTGCGTGTGTGTGTGTGTGTGTGTGTGTGTGTGTGCGCGTGCGTGCGTGCGTGCGTGCGTGCGTGTACGTGTATGTACGTGTATGTGTTTTTATATCTTCTGTTCCTTTTATGTGTGTGTGTGTGTGTGTGTGTGTGTGTGTGTGTGTGTGTGTGTGTGTGTGTGTGTGTGTGTGTGTGTGTGTGTGTGTGTGTGTGTGTGTGTGTGTGTGTGTGTGTGTGTGTGTGTGTGTGTGTGTGTGTGTGTGTGCGCGCGTGCGTGCGTGTGCGTGCGTGCGCGAATAGATAGGATACACGAGTTTATATATCAGAAATGTGAAACTTCTGGCTACGCGGATAGGCGGACGATTGTCAGGTTTTGTAACAAACCTCAACTTAAAACTATTATTTATATTACTTGTTTCTTTTATATTACTTGTTTTTTTCTCATCTAATTTTTGTCATTATTGTAATTATTATCTTTACTATTGTATTTTGTTGTTTTATCATGTTGTGTTTCATCTTATAAGAGTTGTTATTTATTAATTTGTAAAATGAATGAAGATGGAGTAAGTTGTATATATCATGAGTATTGTTAGCAAATAAATAGCTTGTAAATTAGCTTATAAGAGAACAAAGCGGTAAGAACGATTCAATGCTCATTTTACTTCAGAATTAATAAAAGCTATAACAAATAAAACGATAGAAGTAGACACAAATTTCTTGTACGATTAATATTTAGTTTGGTAAAAAAATTATATATATACAAAAAAATTTATACAAAACTTTGTATAAATTGATAATATAATTGGTGTAAGTAGCGGTTTCTAGTATAAGTATTTTATTTTGGAAGTAATTCTCACATAGCTAAAAATAATATGGTGCTTTAGTCATCGTCATTCAAATGTGCTTAGTATTCTATGATAATTGTCCGATGTTAGTCTTATTTTATTTAATGTATGTCCATTTCATACGGCTTAATTGCTACACGTATATCACGAGTATATAGAGGTCGGTCATTTATCGACCACTACATTTAAGCTAGCGAATGGAATAGAAATTTGCGGATCGAATATCTTTCTCAAATTTTAAAACAGCCTGCTTTGTCAAACAACGTCGCCTTGCATGATTGCTTTTCCGTCCGTCCGTCCGTTTTTCCGTCAGAGGTAGCCTATTTCTATAATATTTGATGTGATAAAGTGTGCTTACTTACAGTTTCAGCTAATGTTTCCGTTAATAATCGACCGAGTGGTCATATCGCAATCTTTTCATGTTATGAAATACTTTGCATAAACAACGATATATCATTGAGTGACAATCGCAATATTTTAAAATTAAAAGAGATGCTTCGACAAGACAGCTGCACCGATTATTTCTATTCTTAGTCTATATTATCTGCATTCTGTAATATCTTTTTTATTAATCATAATCTTTCGCTTTTGCTTAACACGCAGCATAAAGGATAGCCGAGCAGCAGTACAGCATTGTTGGTTAAAATTAAAGCACCCGAAGTGTAATAAGAACAATAGCAGTCTCTACATTCAACAAGGCGTATTACAACAACAGAAGTCTCAACGTTGGAGACATTGTGCATAGAAAAATGAAAAAGTGAGAAATAGGAAAAATATAGGGGAAATAGGAAAAGAGACAAAGGAAAAGGAAAAGGGGAGGGACAAAAAGGCAGACCGAGGAAAGAAGGGAGAGAAAGAAAAAAGAATTAATACGACAATGAAAAGAAGAAAGGGATAAAGCGGGAGGGAAAAAATTCGGGATTGGTTCTTCGTATTCCCTTTTCTCTCTCTCTCTCTCTCTCTCTCTCTCTCTCTCTATATATATATATATATATATATATATATATATATATATATATATATAGTCTCTATTCATATTATTTATTATATAAATCTCTTTTTTCTCTGGTGCAGGGTTGCACTCATTTCTTCATTAATGCTATCATTTTTTCTCAGACTGTTATTATGCGTTGCTAAGTACTAGGATGTACCCTTACTGTTTTACACTCAAACAATTTTCATGCAAATAATATATTCGTTACGTATAGAAACAACATATGCATCTACTATACTCGTTTGGACATCAAATTATTTCATTAGTGTTACGACCACCTGATATCTGCACCAACACCAAAGGTCTACCTCAGTTCTCTATCTATGCTGATATACAATTAAGAAACAATTAAGAAGAACAGTACATTTTTAGCTTATTCACGTTAGAAATATTTAACATTATGTCATGGTATGAATACTACTGTTATTTAATATTTAAGTAATTTGTTAAACTCACATTGAATGCATACGACACCTCATGACAGCGTTCACATTTATGTGAGAATTAACAGTTTCAACATGGATATGTTCGAGCTTATTGAAAATTGAATTTTTTCCATGATTCAATTGTTAACGTTTGAAATATTTTATTCTACGAGTGTGACGTATATCAAAAAGACCGAGGGTTCCTTTTTTTTTTTAATTGCTTGTTTCTTGCTTCTGTACATTTTAGTGGTCGATTAAAATTTACGCGGCGATTTAAGCCAATCGTTCTTTGGGAATCTCACTAAATCTTTCAGTTATTTCCTTTATTTATGCATCTTGTGTAACACGGAATAATTATAAATATCGGCGATTAAAAAAACCGCTAAAACGATTACATTATGGTTTATCTATTAAATTAATGTAAAAATGTGTGGTGCGCGTAGTATATACTAAATTTCGTTTCGATTGTCTCACGTTGAGGCCTAAAAAGTGTAAAGGAAAGAAAAATGATCTTACAATTGAATAGTCAATAGTTGACTGTTGTGGTCAAATGCGACATAAGAGAAGAAGGAGTTCCAAAATCTTGTGTACAACTTTTATTTCAGACGTTTGCAACTGTAAAACAATTTGCAAAATTAAATCAGCAAACATGATATTGTGCGAGAATGTCTTGTTTAATCGCAGATAAGACGCGAAGAAATTTCATAAAATTGAAAACTAGTTAAATTAACCAATATGTGTTAACTTGATGTGACTTTACTAAGCGACTTTGCTTGTTCGCGTTCGTAAATTCGGTGTAACTTATCGGCGAACATATCGATATAGTTTGATTTCTAGTCGCTTATTATAGGCGAATAACAAGTACATAACAGAAGACTAAGGACAATGTGCTCCTTCTTCGCAGCCTTTTACAACAGAGCCTAAATAAAATAGTACTCGTACGTGAACAATAATGCTGAGTCGCTAATATTGAAGTAAACATAAACATCAGAGTTGATTATATTATTTATGAAGTATTATCTTATATTATTCATTAATTTTTCCGTTTAGATACATCTTCCTGTGTATGTGTGTATTATCCCAATTAACTATATAGTTTATTTTTTTTATTATAATCGACAATCAGCGTCTTGTTCATCTAACGTATCGTACTATATGTAGCTTGTTACGACGTTGCGCTTCGTTACAAAGAATGTATTATAGATGTATTCAATTGTTTATTTTCTTTCTAGATATCATCTTTAGTACATATATACGCGCTCGCGCGTGTTTGTGAAACTTTGGTGTATCCGTATAGCAATTGAATGTATGTCTAGCTTCTTTAGGGATTCCTTCGAGAGAGATCTAATCATAGAATAATTTAGGAAAGCAAGGATGGAACGGCTAATAATTCCATATGTGGGTGAAAATCAAGCGCACAACGTATTTATTCATTGCTATTCAACTTTTACGAGTCCTATATAATCCTTCACGGCAGAAGCGAGTAAATACGTTATGTCACAATGGTAATATAATGATGTGCTTAATAATTAATTGACTATTTCAAACAATCCATAATCCACAGCATAATGTTATTCTAAGGTGATGGCGGGATGTTTAAAGCAAGTTGTGCAACTGGTTATCTTTAGTCAATGTAGTTGTGTAGCGCGTTATAGCCCTAAGATTGTTACTATTTGCAAGTTGTTTATTCACTGTAACATCAAATCTCATCAAGAATCTCATTAGGGTATGATGTAATTTGGGACATAGTGGACAATGTTGTAAGAGAATATGAAATCTCGCGTATGACTATACGAATCTTGTGTGTTCACACACTTTATATATACATATAGAAATATTATATTATGTTTACACACCCATACGCGCGCGCGCGCGCGCGCACGCTCACACACACAGACACACATACACACACATACACACGCGATCGCGCACGCGCTAACACACACGCAGCACACGCATATATATTTATATATATGTACGCCGATGTTCTTACACGTATGTAAACATATTCATATGTGCATATACAAATACGTTCGCATCTCATACCGCTAATTGAAATAAAATATCTGTCTGTTGTAAAACTACCCTTTTTGCGTAAACGAATCAAACGTTATTCGATATTATCACTCGTGCAAAGAAAACATATTTTCCACTTGATATATTTTGAAACTTTCAACTTATATATTCTTGTTTTAGCATATATATTCTTTCTCCCTTTTTGTAAGTTGTCATAATAGCTAGTGACCAGGGAAACATTTTTTGTATATATTTTATGTGTAGCGAATGAATCGGTGATCGATACAGTGATATGTCACGATCCTATGGAAAAGAAACGCCAGGAACATATTAAAGAGCTGATTGTGACTGAACAGGCCTACATAGAAGATATGAGGCTAGTGCATGAGGTATTCCTTCTATTTTCTTAAATTTAACTCGTTTCATTTGTTTATTATGCCGAATTCTTTCACACGTATATATCTAGAGTATGGTATATAATTATTCTTCCATTTATCTGAAAATCTTTGATGTTAATTTGAAGTAGATTTATTATTTAATTTATGTGTGTGAAAATAATACCCACACCTACATGTACATTAAACTAAGTCTCATCCTTTGTTAAATTTTGTGCAAACTTCAATTTTAACATAAAATCCAAGTTAGTCGTCTCAATATCCGTGCCAATATTAAACAAATGCCCGAGTCTTTCCTGAGTTATTTTGCAAATGACAATACGTGGGTACTCGAGTACCATAATCAGCGTATATGGCACCTTGGAAAAACCAAAAGGAAAATCAACCATTATAAAAATTATTAATAGATGATAGCAATCATAAAAATTATTAATAGATGATAGCAATCATAAAAAATCTTGGTTTTATATCGAAAATTATTTAGATATAAAAAATGAGTTAAGACGAATAAATAACTAGCAAACACTGGGATATCGCATACGTTTGAACTTAATTAATATAGATGGCACAGAGCTAGCATTTTTATCTGAAATATTTGTTAAATTTAGCAAAATATCTTTCTATGATGCCTATCCAGATTAAGGTTAGTCATTTCTCACAAGTGTGGTAGACGAAAAAGACTAGTGTTGAAAGATAAATGTAAATCCTTACATCTACTTAAATTTGCTTACAGATATTACTAGAATGCTACTGCTGTAAATTTTACGTATCACACAATTTTCTTGCAGATACAAAAAAAATAAATTTTATCTATAACGCATAGAATTTTCTACTTGGACTAGCAAGACACTTTTTTAAGTGATAGCATATTAGGCGGGTATTATCCGCGTTTTTTTGGTTTTGAATAATATTCGTCAATTTTATATCCGATTTATACCAATAGAAAATGCATAAAGATGAAGGAAAAATCGGAAATCTCTAGAACACTTTAGACCTATACACATTTCGTATACATACGTAGGTTTATTACACGTTTTAGGTTTTCGAGAAACCGTTAATCGAGAGTCTAGTCTTGAGCGTCGACGAAATAGAAAAAATATTTATTAATTGGAGAGATATTATCGCGTGTAACGACAACTTTTTAAGGTAACCGGGATTCATTTATTAGTATATGCAATAGAATATATCTTTTATAAGTGCAAGGATAAATTTTTTCCAGGACTTTAAGAATAAGAAGAGATAATAGCTATACTGGAATAGTTAGAATGATTGGAGATATACTGTGTGAAAATGTAAGTATATTTACGATTTTAACAAGAAAAAAGATCGCACATGCACGTATATTTCAATTTATATTTATTAATACAATTTGATATGCATTTTGCACAGATACCTAGGATGTCAGCTTACATAAGATTTTGTAGCTGTCAAATATCTGCCGCTATGTATCTGCAACGTTTAACGGAAACTTCGCCGGAATTTGTTCAAGTTGCGCACGCGTGTCAACAAGATCCACGAACAAAGGGAATGCCATTAAGTTCATTTTTAATTAAGCCGATGCAAAGAATAACCAAGTATCCACTTATAATTGGCAAGGTGTGTTTTCCTTGTCCTTTTTCGTTTGTTTTATTGTATGTATAGATTTGTGTGTTTGTATCAATAATTGTAAATTATATATTATACGATAAAACTTGATGATTATAGATCTTAGAATATACTCCGATTGATCACCCCGATAGGCAATATCTTCAAGAAGCATTGGCAAAATCCGAGGAATTTTGTACTCAGGTAAAAATCAACAGATGGGCGAATCGATATAATACATGAGAATTGTAATGTATCATTTTGATGTAAATGTTGCGTTTGATAGCATGTAGCATATATGTATCTTATATAAATTTGTTTCATTATTTTTAATATCGCATATTACATAGGTAAATGAAGGAGTAAGAGAGAAAGAAAATAGTGACAGGTTGGAATGGTTGCAAACGCACATAGTATGTGATGGTCTCGAAGAGCAACTTGTTTTCAATTCCTTAACTAACTCATTAGGTCCACGGAAACTTGTACATTACGGTATACTTCATAAGGTAATGAAAATTATATAATAATACCATAGGCTTAAAGACTGTATTCAATGAAGATTTCACATCAGTGTCATGATTTCTTTTTTACAGTCAAAGAGTGGCAAAGAACTCGTTGGCTTTCTTACAAATGATTTCCTGCTGTTTGCCCAACCAGTGAAATTTTCGTTGTCAAACTGTCAGCAATTTTCATTTGAACGCAACAAACATAAAAAATTTAAGATGTATAGAAAGGTACATGGGATTTTAGAGAGTTCTTTAATTTCTGTAGGGAAAGTAAGAAAAAGAAAAGTAAGAAAATTCCCTTAGGGAAAGTAAGAAAAGGGAAAGTTGCTTAGTTTCCTTAGGGAAAGTAAGAAAAATTTACAAGTCAGAAATTTTTATACATACACACACACGTTCAAACACACCTATACAATTGTTGTGCCACTATCGAGAAAGCATCTTTTTTTTATTTAGCCAATATTTCTCAACGAATTGTCTGTGCTCGGAGAAAGCGAAGGAAACGAAAACAGTAGTAGCCTAAGCGGAAATAACGTAGCTGACAATTCATCGAAAACTCTAAGACTGAAAGACCTAAAGAAGCTAATAATATTATTAGCACCGTCTTCGAACGAGTGCTCATTGTGGATGAGACGAATCGTAGAGGCGCGTAAAAAATTTTTAGAAAACGAAAAGAATTGCCTGCAGAGACAACGATCGAGTAAGTTTATGCAAAATATTACTTTTGCTTATTCTACACGTGTTCCGTACATAAGTTACTGTTGCCTCCTGATATTGTTTGTAAACGAATACAGAGAGTATTTACATAATGCTTATATATTGTTTCCTATTGACATCGTGCATCACGATATCGCGCTTATATGTTCGCATAGATAACTGTCTGAAATGTAATGTGATAAATTTAATACAATTTGATTCTCGACAATATCAATAAATGGTGATTTATATGGATGAGCAGAGCAGGCGCAATTTGGGGCGTGCGGCAGAATTCTTGTTACTGTGCTCGAGGGTTTCAACTTGAAAGCCCCATCCGGTAAGCATCCGGCATGGCGCGCATGATCAAGGCATGACGCATGATAACTCGCTTCATATACTTATTAATATAACATCGTAGTGTATGCTTGTGTTGCATGTAATAGTATATCTTGTTGTATGTTTTAATGTTGCATTAAGATAGTATACGTAATAAAAAATTGTGTATAACGGTAAAGGATAATTTGTTATGCACTAATGAAGGGTCAAGCTAAGAAAACGGATTTCGTGTACTAATCTTGGTATTACAATTGCATGTAGCGCTTTACTAACAGAAATCTGCCATGTTTATAGTTCGCAGGAGAACTCCCGAAGGTAGACTGCGACTAGTAGTTGTGGAAGCTGAAGATCTTACCTATGGCAGAAAAGGTAGAGTATTCGTATTTAAAAACGCCTCTGAATAATTGTATTCACGATATCGAACAATGGTTTGTAAATCAATCTTTATCAAATTTGTTGTAGACAGCGAGATTGCACCAATTCTGTCATAGTTATAATTCATTATGTTTTTGCAATGCAAGATTTTCTTCTCTGGTATACAGCATATATAACCATTTCGATTTTCTTCAGTTCCACAAATTACGTTTATTTTATCTATATTATACATCAAATTTTCTCTAAATTAAGTAACGCATGTTCCATAGCAATGGTTGGGATAGTCGTAAATAAATTAAGACTCGCACACATAGCAGGATATATATATGTGTGTGTGTGTGTGTGTGTGTGTGTGTGTGTGTGTATAAAATAATTCTTTAGCTATTATCTATAATTCGATATCAAAGCATTTCAAATTTTACTATATCATGTCTAATGGAGAAACTGTGGATATATGATTGCTGTTTCTGGGGGATAACTTGAGTGCTATGTGGTTGTTGGGCAAGGATATACAATAACGTTTGAGAGAAAATGAGATATACTATTACAAGATGTTATAACACTATTTAAGAAAATTACAAGTTATTGTACACGTTCCTCGTCTCATTCATGAGACTGGAAACTCTTACGTGCGAATGTATTGCTTTGTTCTGTTGTAGGAAAATTTAATACATTTTGCAAAGTGTCTATGGGTTCTCAAGAGGAAAGAACCGGTGTCGTATCTGGAAGTAATTGTCCTTTATGGGATGCGTCGATGCAATTCCAAGTGAAAGATTTACTCGAAGATACTCTTTGCATTACAGTGTTCGATAAAGGGTATTACAGCCCTGACGGTAAGTTATATGTATAATTGTTTTTTAACGCGAAAATTTTCTGTACTTTTACGCGAGTACATTAAACTATTAAACTGGCGATGTGGTGTGTTGTTGACGCAGAGTTTCTTGGTCGCGCCGAGGTCAGAGTGGCTGACATAATGAGAGATAGCAAGGATTCCTGTGGACCGATCCAAAAGAGGATAAAGTTACGCGAAGTCGAAAGCGGCGATGTCGTTCTCAAGCTTGATCTTCGGCTATTTGGTAACAGATGAAACATATAGTGCGAATATCCAATTGTGCGTATTTACATAAAAGGTACAAAGTTTATGAGGAAGTGATGTGTGTGTGTGTGTGTGTGTGTGAGAGAGAGAGAGAGAGAGAGAGGGAGAGAGAAAGAGGGGATGGGAGAAAGAGAAGAGATGGCGAAAAGTTAATTCTGTCATTCTTATATTTTTTTTTAGAAAAGAAATTTGAACATGTGTGGCGTATAATCATAATTTAATTCTGATACGCATGTACATGATATATGAAAATGCATAAGAAACGCATTTGTGATATAACATAGATGATAATTTGATCGATATGATATGCGATTGATTTATATTGAAGACTATTGCAATCATTCTTTTGCGAACTTTTTTTACAATCTACCTCGATATGAGTAAGAGAGATTGTGCATTTACGTAAATAACCTTATTTATTCTGATTTTTTAATTTTTTCAATAAGAAAAAATACATCGAATATATAAATTACACTATTATTACATGTCAAAAGTATCGTTTACAAGGCATTATCGATTTCTTTTATAAATCGTATTATGCGCACATTGCACTATTCTTTCTCTGTTACTACATTGACAATTGTGGACGGTACTATCCGTACGGTAGACTTTAATAGATAATATAAATTAATTACAATATATATATATATATATATATATATATATATATATATATCTGTTTATTACGCAACATTCGTCGCGATATAACAAACAGAATACTAAGACATAACATTGCTCAAAGACAATTTCTATTTTCCTTTTGAGAAATTCGAAAGACTTTAAAGCCCATTTTGCAAAAGCCGCAAGAGTATGCAGTAAGATGTAAGCAGGAAGCAAATTGATCAATGGAATTTTTACAGTCCAAGAATAATGGATTGCGGATGGTCAATTTGCTTATTGCGTACTTTTTATAGCATACTATTACGGCTATTCAAGAATGAGCTTAAGGTTCCTTGTTCCACTGTTGCGGAATCCTGAATCGATGAGGTCAGAAGTGAAAAAAACGCATGCCAAAAATTCTTGCGCGCTATTTTAAAAACGCTATTATAAAAACATATTTGCATGAAATAATACTTCAAATCGCTTAAGCATACTTGTTACACAGCAGAATAAATGCTCTTTTTACCTTGACAATCAGTAAATAGTCTTAAAATTAGAGTCATATGCAATCCCTTTAGATTATCTTATGATTTTGCCACATTAATTTTAAAGCTATTTATTGATTGTCCAAGGATAAGGATAGTTTTCAGAGCATTTTATAAGTACGTTTAAGCGGTGTGAAATGTTTTTCCATATAAAATAAATATATTTTCATATTTAAAAATAGTACGTAGGATAACTTTTGCCATACGTTTCCTTGTTTCTGATTCCTTGTTATTAATTTAGGGTTTCGCAGTAATGAGATTTTAAAAATCTTAAATTCAAAATATTTTCCCGGTTAATGTAGTATTTAGCAACTATGAAAAAATAACTCTCATTGTGGACGAAATCCGCAAGTTGCCCGAAAGATGAGGCAATGTTATTATGTTACTACCGGAGAACGGCTATTATTTTAATGATTAAATTTATTGTTGACTTTTTGAAAATATGAATTGTCTTTGAGTACTTCTAATAGGAATGGACGGTACAGTCTTTTATTGTTTGAGTTAACTGTGTCACGGGAATATATCGTTTCGTCAGGCAACGTACAAAAACATATGGTTTTCATTCTTCGCTGCACCTGCACGTTTCGTTATCTTCATCGTCCGAGTTTTTGTTTACACGACAAGAATAATAAGAAACGCGAGTAAAATCCGAAGCGAAATGTTCAATCTTTTACAGAATAAAGTTATCTTTCATCAGGTACGGCCAGTTTCTTGGGATGTCTCGATATGTCCGTCTCGAAGTTTGTATCGTCACGACGTTCCATGTCCTCTGTGGGAAATTCATAAATTGGCTTAAATCCACCAAAGAGTTGTGGTTTGAAATTATCAACATCGAAGTCATTTTTCTCGGTCTGCGTATCCATTTCGGAGCTAGCCAGCTTTGCATCATCGTTATCGTTATCTAGTTTTTTGTCTGCCTCTGCGGGTGGCTCGACGACGACGACGCTCCAACCATTTTTACTAGGTGTCTCGGCACTTATACTAGCGACAAAAGGAGCCATAAAGTTCTGTGGCATTGGTGCCGAGTTGGAAGAGCTGGATGGCTGCTGAGAAGGTAGCAACACCGTTGTCGTTGCGTCAATATTCGTAGCAGCGTCCTTGTCGTCATCGTTGAAATGACGAGTAGGATACGCCGCTGCGTGTGTCGGTGTATAAACGTAAGCGATCGGCGTTGGCGTTGGTGTCGATGTCGACAATGATGTCGGCGTTGTCGTTGTCGATGCCGATGTCAGGATTGGTGCTGTACGATGCAGTGTTACGGAAATTGTCGCGTCATTCTTCTTTTGAAACGGGAGAAAATCTTGCAAGTAAGGAATTACATTTGTGGCATCCTGTTCATTTTTCTCATTCTTTCGATCGGCTGCGATTACGGGGGCAGTTTGTTGTCTTTGCTCGCTAGGTACCAAGAGAGGCGTTTCTTTCGTACCACCAGGAAACATCGACGTCAGATCGGAATGCTCTAAGGGATATGGGAAGTCCGATGCAACGGGTGCGGGTCTACCATTGTAGACTTTATGGATCTTCTCTCGCTCGTCCTGAAGCAGAGTATCGGGTGGTAGTGGCCGATGAGGTCCCCGAGTACCCACGACGACACTTCCGTCGTCGTCGTCGTTGTCGTCAACCTTTTCTTCTTCCTCTTCTTTGGAATTGCCCGAATGTATATTAACCGCAGTATTGACTGGATATACAACATATACAGGTTGCTCGACTATCTCCAACAAATCATGATTATCCGACTTTCTACGTTCCGCTTGGTGCGCGAGTACAGGTTCTATATGTTGCGTAAGTCTGGCTTCATTTTCGTCATTGTTTGTGAATTCGCCATGATGTTGTATCATTTGCAGAGTCGTAACGTGTAGAGGATCCGCCGTTCTACGCTTAGGGAACAGAGGCGGCTTCGGTGGTGTTATCGGCGGTTCCTCTGGGTAACTTTCCAAGCTTTCATTTTCGCGTTCGTCCACGATTTCACTCTTACCCTGGTCCCGCGTCTTGCTTTCGTTGTCATCCTGGTCTGTGGTGTGATCGAATGACTTGTTAAATGGCAGCGTATTCTCTTCGGTGCTTCCACGCGAGATCGATGATACGATCGATGGAGGCCGAAACTTTCGTATCGTCGGTTCAATCTCGTGAAGTGAAGCAGCGTTATCCATTTTCGAAGTCGGTACAAAAGCTAACCTAACTGCGTGGATTGGCGGTGGTGGAGGATTTAGACGCTGAAGATACGACGGTGGCGGGGGAAAGGGCTGACGTCGTGACGCCGGATGATTCTGTAACGGTTGTTTAATTCTAGTAGACAAGCTTTGTCCAGCCGGCATCGTTCCTATTACATCCGAACCGAAACGATGGCCATACGACGCTTTTGTATTGGGACGAAATTGAGGCAAGATATTCGGTAGTTTTGCCTCGGGCGAATACGGACGTCTCCTCGATCCTACATCCAATGGAGATCCCGAAAATCCCGAATGTGGCTTAATGCGTGGTGACAGCGGTAACCTTTGTGGTCTTGTATGGTCCGTTCGCAAAGTAGTATCGTACTGGTATTGATAGTACGGCGGTGGTCCGGTACTTTCCGCAGGCGGCATTAAATTTTCGGCGAGCTGTGGCAAGTCTCCGCTAGCGTTAGCAACAGGGAGATTGATCTTTGTTTTATTTATCGCCGTTGTTGTTAAGGTTACCTTGGGTGGTAATTCGCGCATATTGTTATCTGCTTCGTTTACGACGGCGATACGTTCCTCCGTAATCGTCTCCTTGTTTTTCGTTTCTACATCCGATAAAGTAAAATGGTTCGCGTCCTTCTCCTGGCTTCGATCTCTATTTGTATCAATTGTCGCAATTGAAGCAGCAGCAAAGGAACTTTGAGATCTCGGCGGTTCGAGTTGGTTGTAGTTCTTTAGAACACTGGAGCCGGGTGGCCACCATTTCTGTATAACGCGATCAGGACTCGGTTCTGCGACGGAAGCAGGTGGTTGCTCGTATTTAATTTCCTTGGTAGAACCATGTGGATTATTGCGAAGAGGCCAGAACGAAGTCTCGATGTCCGATAAACTGCCGTAAGGATTCTCTCCAATGGCAGTCCCAACCGAGTAATAACCTCCCTCAACGTTCTGACGATTTCCTAAAACGAAAGACACGGTATCTTGATCCGGCGGAATTACGATATTACTCGTGCTTTCTATCACAATGCCAGCTCCTACTCGGTCTTGTACCGATTTGACCGTTGATTTATATTCGTGACTCGTGTTCGGGTCATAGCGTTCCGTAATACTGTGTCCTAGATTGTTAATCAAAGACGAGGAAGCTGCTGGATGTTGCGACATTATTGAAGATTGTAACGAGTCGCTTGCAAATAGATCCTGCTGCAGAAGCATACGCTGCGTAGAAGATCCAGAAGGAGCGACCGTAGTAACGGCTGATGTTGTACCCTCCGACAACTTGGTGGTGACCGCATTGGCAGTCGTACTTGCTGTTGAAGTCATTGCATTGGCAATAGTTATAGAAAGTGTCGACTGTGTAACGTGCTTTTTCGATAAATCTTGAAACAGTAAATCGCTTTCCCTGTTATCATCATCGTCGCTGCCATTGTCGCTGTTGACCTCATCCTCATCGCCATCCTCACTTTCATCCTCACTCTCACCTTCATCGTCCGGCGATTCGTAAACGTCATAAGAATCCTTATATTCTTCGTGTTGCGTCGATGGCTTTGCACGAGATGGTGCGAAATTGTTGCGAGTTGGTTGATTTTTGTAGCGAATAACAGTTTGCGTCTTTTCTGTCGTTTCATCGTTCAGAGATTGCGTCGACATGTTGCTTGGACTTTTATAAGCTTCCACGTGACTAGAAATTTGCAATTGCTCTCTCGACAATATATTCTCCTCGTTCTCCTCTTCTGGGGTAATGCGATTAATGGAATCAAATACTATTGGAGTAGTAAATGGTTTCCACGTGGTTACAATAGGCGCTTTAGCCGTAGAAGTTTTAATTGAAAATGCAACAGTCGACAGTTTCGTTTTGAAATCACTGACAGTTGTAGCGTTGTGTGCGCTTGTGTTCATTATTGACACGTAAGGGTTTCTAGTGGCAAGTATATACGAGTCGCTTTCAATGTGATAAGGTCTATGATTGTACGTGCTGTAACTGTTGGTGCCACTTTGCACCTTCGTATTGGCATACGAATTTGAGATCAATGGATATTTATCATTACCGTATTTGGCCGAAGAGTAATTAATGGGTAAGTTTAAGAAATCGTGAAAATTAACTGTATATGTATTGATCTCATTTGGACTAACGTCGTCGTTATCGTTACCCTTCGTCTTTCTATGCTCTGCATATGTGTTTTCTTCTCCGTAAATTTTTTCCGAAACATTTACATTCTCTTTATTCTCGTGCTCGTGATAACGGCTAGTGTAGTTGAGAGCTCTAACAGGTGGTGCTTTCTCGAAGTCGATCTTACCGGTTATCGGGTCCTTCTCTAAAGAAAACGGCTTACCTCCATTGAAGGCGAAAGGATACGGGATATGGTAACGTGGAACGTCGTTGTCGATTGAAGCAGAAGACGCGGTACCGACAGCGACAGTGGCAACTGTGCTTTCCTCCGCTATAAGATCCGGGTCAAGGTCGTCTACATGTCCTTTATGTTCTAATGCAAAGAAATTGTCGATTTTTTCAGATCGAGACTTTGCTCCAGCGTTATTGTCCAGGTGACCACCCATCAAGTATTCGCCTGACACGCATATCAGAACAACGAAGAAAATCCACAGGCATTGCCACATTTCTCACATACGCCCGGTATCTGAAAGATGTTACTTTCTGTTAATCTTTTTCTCTCTCTCTCTAACTGTAGCTTTTATCATGTTGTACACATAAATCGATTGATGGTGTTACAAACGGTATAATAACAGCACATTGCACAATTGCACAAATTAATTTAAACTTTATAATTGTACCCATGAAGCATTACATGACGAGAAAATGAGACCGTGAGATTGGTGAACAGACATTACGATATTATGAAAACGTTCAACGTAAACTGTAAATAGTTGTAGAAACTCTTGTGCAGTAAAAGGCTCGGCGGTAAAATTTTTTTGTTTTCGCGATACTTTGTTTTTGGTCAATTTTGAATATTCGTTGAATACGAATCGAATGTTGCTGGTAGACGTATACTGAATACAACATCATAATTTTCTTTTTTTTAGACTTCAGAGAGAGAGAGAGAGAGAGAGAGAGAGAGAGAGAGAGAGAGAGAGAGAGAGAGAGA